CAAAGAACCTCCAGGGCTCGGAACGCTGAAGAAAAAGAAGTACAACGGCATCATCTGTGTAGATCAGTACGTCCGCCTAATCTGAATTTTCAAATGTTAGCCTCTGCATTGACAGCAACTGGATTCTGCTCCCGACAGCTCCTACCAAGCGCGCAACACAGGAAAAGTTGCAGTTGAGCACCTAGGGCACAGGTATCCATTCTTCACCGAAGTTGATGTCTGTAATACTGCAGACCTGTAGGTATCGTCCTCTGCCTACAGAGTATTGATTTGCCCCTTTTAGCCTCTGGCCATTTTTCCTAAAGAGAACACTGTGCAGAGAGGTCTTCAAATACGAGCTTATCTGCAGGTATGCACGAGTTCTCCGTATCTTCATCACATGTCGGAAAGCCAATAAAATATCTCAATGCTACGCAACAGGTGTCTCTAGTGCACCTCTTCGATTTGAATATCGCTGACGGTAAGTCAGCAGTCTAAAGTATATTCGACGGGAGAAAGAACCAGTCCCTGCCAGTCCCTGGAACAGTAGCAGAAACAGTCTGCTTGATGCTGGCGGTGGCCAGGACCCTTATTGCTGATAAACCTTTGCGGGCCTTCGTTATAACATGGTCGACGTGGTCTTTGAAGGACAAACTATGATCAAACTTCACACCCAGATATGTCATCGGGTATGTTCTCGTCAAAGTTCGCCGCTAATTTCCACCACTGGTAGGTCTGCCTCAACGATATGCGTGTTTAAGGAGAACCACGTTATTAAGGCTTTTGAAGACTTGACATGTGCACTGGAGTCCACACACCAGGAGAAGATGCAATCAAGTTCGCTCTGCACTGGCAATCTCGTGTCGCTTTCTTCGATGTCGATAGACCAAAATGTGGCCTTCACATGTTTTACCTATTGCCAGAGATCACAATGACGATCGAGCAGTAATTTTTAAATTGTTTTCTCGCTTTGTTTCTCTGCTTCGACATTCACTACAACCTTGAAGATAGGAATGGGGTATTGGATTTCGCTGATACTGTTTGTCATGGCTGTGCAGGTCATTGTGAGTGCGGCATTCAGCTACGGCCAGGACTCTAATGTTGGGGATTACAAAATGCGGCCACTTAAGGTCTTTATAAATGACGCAACAATCACATCACGGCGTTAAAGCATGATGTATACTCGAGAGGCTTGAAGTCATGATCAAGTGGTGCAGAATAAGTTCAAGATTCAAAAGAAAAGGAGTTTGTCGATCCAGGAAGGTAAGCGGTTGCGATCAACTTCGAGGTGACAGTTCTGGACGACCAGTTTAAGAGTCTTGGTAGGGTTTAAGATTCTATGTTGTCAGATATGAAGAGAATACATCTCTATCCTCTTCCTGTCTAAAATGTAAGCATGATCTCCGCTAATGACATGAAAAGGAAGAAATTGACGGGAAACTCACAACACCTGACCGACGTGGTTCTGTATGGTAAAAGGATAAAGCTAGTAATGTCCTTCAAGTCTGTCATCGATGAGTTCAAAGTCGACAAAAACAAGACTCGTGATTATGTTAAGTGAACTATAAGTGAAACCCAGCCAGCGCTAAAAACGGTGTGGAAATGAAAGGTGTAGAGTGAACTTAGTTCTACCTAAGAATATCTTAAGTTGAAGGAAGTCCTGATGTTCTCTCAGACCAACTGAAGGTCCACTAGTGATAGTCGAAAGCGTCAGCCAGGAAACACAGGGACGTTGTGATTCAGCAGAGGATAAACCTGCGGGTCTGTGGCAGTCTTATCTTGGTGATTCATACATTTTGAATGAACGGGAAGACAACAGGGTAGAAGCAGTAGTGTTATGTGATGGTGTGGAGTGGAGTGGAGTGTGATGTTGTATGCTAAACATGGTGAAATCAGTTGGAGCCATAATTAGATAAATACCTCTAAACACAGTGAGGGGTATTAGTGTTCAGTATTAGTTTCTTGTTAATTCCTGATACAAGTTAAAAAAAATAATTGGCAGCGAGGGAATATGTATACGTTATAATGGGAAAATGGGTTTATCCCGAGCGAGTTCACATGGTTGGATGTATGATATTACTGGAAATGATGGTAGGCGGTGTATAAACTATGAGGAAGGCAAAGAGATAAATATCTGGATGGCCTGGCGAAACAGATGAGGCGGGACTACAACATTGAACTGATCCGGGATTCTGGTGATCGTGTGAGATAGCGGCGTGGATGAATAGTGTCATACTTTACTAGAACAGGTAGATCCAGTTATACGGCTTAACTGGGGTTACGAGCCAAGGTGCGAAAAAGGCACTATTACAATTTGGCGGCGCAGGTGAGAACATCTGCCAATTACTGCCTTTTTTATACCACTATGTAGGCAGGGCAGTCTGAGCCTGACGATTTACGGGCACATGGCTAGTGCTGTCGCCACGACTGTGCAGCTGAGGATTTTATTTTGTTTTTATTTTATTTTAAATAAATACACAGCCTTACCGAGAATTCGAACCCCGGTCTCCCACTTGACAGCCCAGCGTTCTAACCGTTTAGCCAACCGCTCCTCAAGAGAGCATCGACCGGCTTGTGAGTAACCAGCACGACATGAAGAACAGACCTCGCTCTGCTGACTAAGATTTTCAACAGAATAGTACTACAATGTTTCCTGCGATAACGGCGTTTAAATAAAGGGTATGTCTGATCAACCAATCTGTCCAAAATGTAAAATTGGCTCTTGAAACCTGGCCGACTGTTCCGTCAGCTCTGTGGTTATACACAATCCTAAATGTCGCCCAAATCCCAACCATCAATGGTAATAAGGAACGTTGCGCTGAATGTTTGCTTGCAGCAAGGTGGGAAAGGAACGCGCTACCCTGACGCAAGGGTCCAGTCTTAGAGGGTAGGGGTGACTAGTTCGCACGCATTAGCGGCGTTCGTCATAAACCAAATGTCTGTATCGATAAACATATCTCACTGTGTCGGAAAGGATGTGAAACCTGAGCAGGAGAGACCTGAGACCCGAAAGTCATAACCTGACCTAGCCCGGCCCCAGAGAGTGTTGGGAAGATAAGGGGCGCAAACAAATGCAGAAATGAGACTGCTTCTGATGTTCGGAATAGTTATATTTTGTTAGCGCCCTAATGGAGAAGAATATTTTACATGCATCAAGACAATCTGATACAAATATAGTTGTTATACCATTCTAAAGAAAACTTAAAATACCAGGAGAAGAATAACTGACCCAATTCTTCATAGTCTAGTAAAGTACAAAAACAGATATAATCGAGGCTTTGAATTTCTCATAGCTTCCCCCAGCCTCCTTTTTTTTTTTCTTGATAACATTTTTGTTTTTCTAGTGGGATTCCTAAAGTTTATTGATTACATCTCGAACGACATGCCAGCTGATTAGACAATTACATAATACCCAGCAAAATTCAGGTCCAGGTAAAAGCCAAAAGTTCAAGCGGACGATTAACCGGGAAATTCCGCCGGAATTCACAGCCGGTGAACGAAGAAGAAGAAGAAGAATTTAGAAATATCTACTTGTATATCAGGTTGGAAAATCCAATGAAGAGTGGCAAGTGTTTTAATTAACCATCATTCAGAGTTGAATCTAGCATAATGACTACATAAACTATTATTATCATCATTCCGTACCACTACGTGTCGTTGGGTCACCAATTTCTGTTGACTGTCTGATCAACTCTCTCCACCTTTGGCGGTCAATTGCGATGGACTTCATGTTTGCATGCCCGCGGCCTGTCCAGTCAGACAGGTTTTTAAGAGGCCGTTAGATCTTATTAGATGTCCATACCATTGCATTTTTCGACTTTCAACTGTAGTTAAAAGAGGTTCATAGTTGCCAATGTGCTGTATAATTTTATTTCGAGCTTCCTCGTTTGTAATGTGGTCTCTGTATGATATGCCAATAATTTTTCTAAAACATCGCATTTCTAATGCTTGTATTTTTCTTTCAAGTTCGGCTGTTAAGGTCCACGTTTCACAGCCATTTGTAAATATACTAATAGCTAGTGCTCTGAGCAATAGAATCTTAGTCTTGCATAAAATGTTTTCAGAATTCAATAATGTTTTTTGCTTGGCAAGAGCTGATGTTGTACGGGCAATCGTAGACATAGTTTCTGGTCTTGACCCCAAGTCACTTAAAATTGATCCTAAATGTTTGAAATCAGTCACTTGTTCTAATTTGTGGCCTTTAACGCAGATTGGTAAAATTCTGCCAGCTAGATTATTTAGTCATTACTTTTATTTTTGTGTGCATTTATTTCCATGCCATACTTCGTTGATGTTTCGTCGACTAGTTCGTGTTCTTCTCCAGCCAACCCACCAATGCCATCTGCAAACCTTAAGTTTGTTATATTTCGACCTCCGATACTCACTGTTCCATGATGTTTTTCTAGGGCATCAGTCATAATTATTCCAAAAAAAAAAAAAAAATGTTAAACAGTGTTGGAGAGAAAAGGCTTAGAGGAACCAGCTTCCTATTTGTCCGTTCAGCGTGACAGCGTTGCTGGTTGTGACATAGCTATGTTCTATATATAGTACGTATGAAGGTTTTAGAGGGTTTTATCCATGTTGTACTTTTTTCAGTGTCCCAGAGTGCTGCATGCCATCAACTTACTTAGGTGGTTTCTCAAATTTTTTAATGCCTAACGCCTAAATTTTAAATTTTCGCGCGATACATTTTCTACTCCAAGCAAATAATCATACCAACTAAAGGGCTCTTTAACAGAATCAAATATAAGGAGCACATGCTGATGTTTAAAAGACACTCGATAGGCAATACTGAATATGAATTAATTATTAAGATTTTGTGAGAACAGTGGTTAGTCATGATTTGTACCACACAAATACTAACTAGTAAACATTTTTAATATTAATGATATAACTGAGTCAAACGGTGAAATCACAGATCCCGTTCGACCAATAACAACATTAAAAACAACTGACAATTTTACACGTAAGAGACACCGATGTTCAATAGCTATTAAAGAACCTGTTTCTTGGATACTCACGTAGTGATGTTAAACGTGACGGTTATCCGAATATACATGCAACTTTTAAATTCACTCAAATCTCCCAGCTGTAGCTGCGGTAGGCTGCTGGAGTTGTATATGATTTTATTCGAGGCGTAGCCATCAGTGTGGATAATTGGCTGCACAATATTTTTGATATCCATTTTAAAACATTCATCACAATAAAAATCTAACGAGAGGAAGAAAAACAAACAGGACGACAGCAGCTGCTTACTTCATTTTAAGTCAACAAATCTGCAACTGGCCACACTGGGGAATTCTTCTTCTTCTTCATTTTCTTTTTCTTCTTTTGTTCGACTGAAATAAATTATCTATACTGGGAAATAGATACCATATCTTGAAATCACAGCGGAGAAAGCGAAAAATTTGAAGCAACACGAGAATAGCATTTCCAAGAAATGCGAACATCCTGACAGTGTCTGTGTGGATGGTTAGACGATGATTAAGTACTATGTTTAACTAACATATTAGTTAGTTAGTTAGTTAGTCTTTCCTCTTGTGTCGAGTGCGGCACATAGGGCAGAGGTCATGACTCTCCATGCATGGCGGTTCGTTGCAATCTGTTGTAGGTCTTGAATGTTTGAGTGGCCCATGAGTGAGCCTTCCCTGATGATAGTTCTACGTAGGGTTTCCCTTGGTCTTCCACGAGATCTTTTCCCCTGTGGTGTCCAAATGAGGGCTTGGTAAGGAAGTCTTGATTTATCCATTCTAAGGGCGTGGCCGACATAGTTCCAGCGGCGTTTTCGTATAAAATTAGACACATACTCTTGCCTGGATTCTTGCCTTATTTGTGTATTGGTTCGGAAATCTGACCATTTGAAATTTAGTATTCTAAGGCATTTATTTTCAAAACTGTCTAATTTTGTGTCTAGAGTTTTCGTTGATTTCCAGCTCTCGCATCCATAGGTTAGTACTGGAATCTCACAAGAATTGAAGATTTTGAGTTTTGTGTGTTTGCTAAGTGTCTTTGATTTCCAGATGTTGGACAGTTTATTGAAGGCACTAGATGCCAGTGCTATTCTAAATGGAATTTCTGGTGCGGTATCTCCTGTAGATGACATCTTGTTCCCTAGATAAGTGAAACTGTTGACTTTTTCATGGCTGTTGTTCTTCAGCGTGATATCAACTGAACTGTTGGTAAGGTCTAGAATTTTTGTTTTTGCGGTGTTAATTTGGAGCCCAATTTGTTCTGAGAAATTCTGGAGTCGGTTGATTTTTTCTTGGGCGTCTGTGTGTTCTGAACTCAGGAGTGCTATGTCGTCGGCGAAGTCTAGGTCTTCCAGAATTTTGTCAACCCATGTAATGCCTAAATTTGCGTTATTTATGCACTTGTGCATGACCCAGTCGATTGCTATACCAAAAAGCATCGGCGATAGGACACAACCTTGCTTCACTCCTGTTTCCAACTAAAATATAGCCAGAGTTATAATGCCCAATTTACGTTGTTTTACTTGGTATGGCTCAACCAGTTCTATGTTTTGCTCTTACATCTGAGTGCCAGTCAGATTCTTTTAAACAATACATGCTATGACATAAACAAATTTGTTGTTTAGATGGATCAAGAGAGAAACAGGTATACTAACATTAGACAGACCGACAGACAGACAGGCAGACAGTCAGACAGACAGACGGATAGATAGATAGATAGATAGATAGATAGATAGATAGATAGATAGATAGATAGATAGATAGATAGATAGATAGATAGATAGATAGATAGATAGATAGATAGATAGATAGATAGATAGATAGATAGATAGATAGATAGATAGATAGATAGATAGATAGATAGATAGATAGATAGATAGATAGATAGATAGATAGATAGATAGATAGATAGATAGATAGATAGATAGATAGATAGATAGATAGATAGATAGATAGATAGATAGATAGATAGATAGATAGATAGATGCATGGATGGATGGATTGACAGATAAATAGTTTGGTGGGTCGGTGTATAGACTGATTCAGACAACGCTTACTTTTTCAGCGCCTTTATTCATAATATATGTACCCATCCGTGTTGGCACGCTGTTTGTGTTATCAAAAAACATCCATTGAACTATATACACTTGAAAGGTTTTCTGAAAATTAAAAACATGGCATATAAGGCTAATTTTTTTACAGTCGTCTGTTTTTTGTGTGTGTGTCTGCTATGTATGTTTTCACTTTGTATTTTATTTAACATCTGAAAGCATTGAGCAATCTAGCCCTGAAGAAGATGTGAATGTTTTAAAAAAGAGCAGTAGGACAGCATCAGTACGGCAGGACTGCATTCACAGTTACTTGTCCCACTTCCAAAACCATGCATTCAAAGCTTAGTGGATTTAGAATCATCACTTTACAAAATAGATGTGGGAAGGTCTTGGTGACGATGGTCACCGTCAAGCTGCAAGCATTTTTAGAAAGGGGGAACTACGAGCCATGAAAAGATACCTGGTTAAATGCAGCCACTTTTTAACTTTGACCTTTGTGAAGGATCCAGAGCAGCCAGGAAAAGAAGGCGACAGCGCTTGATCTCGAAGATGAGTATAATAGAGTAAGATACGACATTTTGATGACCGCACTGATTAAGAAGGGGGTCAGTATCTGGTTGGTATATTGGATAACATCTGTCCTGTATTCTTGTCAGGTTGCTCTCCGTCTGGGTTCATAGACCTCAAAAACACGTATTATAGCCCCAGGACAGCATAGGGATCTGAAATCTTACCTGGCTCTTTATAGTGGAAATGAACAAGGTTGCAAGCCTGGAAGCAGCAGGAGTTGAAAGGATACTGGCTTTTGCAGAGGCAAATCGGCAGGGGAGAGATGGGGAACAAACATCACAGGGCTTCAGTGATGGACTGATGTAAAGAAATAAGGGTTGTCGTCCACCCAAAAATTGCGTCTGTTTTGTGGTGTTCTCTAGACAACAGGTTTGTTTGAGCTGTGAGGGTGAACCGATCCTGAAAACACGGCTAAGGTCAGAAATGTTGCTGCACTCCTCGACAGCTCGTTAGCATACATTGATTAGGCTAAGCGTTCTGTATAAATCGAGGACTGAGGAGCGGAACCTGTACAAGCACGAAAAGTACAGTCATCTGGTAGCACGTCGGAGGTATAAGGAAGGTTAGGCTGGTCGCTTCATTGCGTTCGAGGAAGGAGCAACGTGGTTGTGGCTTAATCAACATACGATATCACGAGGTAGCTGAGATGCGAAGCAAAGTGCGGAAACAAACACTGAAGCGAGTCGGCGAGGCTGCTGAGAAAGCCTCGTTTTGGCTATAGAGTAGCTGGAGCGAGGTGGGGGATAAATTTCGGTAGGCTGGCTCGGTTTCCTTGTGGACAAGAACTCCCAAGTCTCTCAAGTGGGTTTCATCAACGTCTATATAAATCCCTGTCCGAAATAATGTCTGTCCGATCAACGTTCGTCCAGTGAATCCATCGTACAATAGTCAACTTGGCTAGTGCAAGTGAATGACCAGTCTGCGATATTTGGCTTATATAGTAGGGAAATGCCACTGGTGAATGGAAGTCCGCACAGTTAATTGCTGTAGCAAGGCAGGCATAGAGGGCTCCAAACTGACGCAGGAGCCCAGGCCTAGAGTTGGCTTGTGCTAATGCTTAGCCGTGAACGGGGCTCAAAAGACTATATCCGGCCTTTGGCATCACAGTGAGCTTTTGGTGATTCAGTGACGAGGGAGCTGGCAGCTGTGAATAGACAACGCCCTCTTCACAGACCTGGCGCCTTTCAGGGCAGGCAGGCTAGTTGGCTCGAACGTGTAGTAGAGTTCACTCTGCCAATTGCACTAACCAAGTCTCGCTTTGTCCACCAAGCACCGCGTGAGAGTCTGAGGCTCGGGAGTCATGACCATGGTTGGTCCGACTTAAAGATTGAATAGGGTATAAGCGGGCCGAAACAAATGTTAAAGGAGGACCACCACTGATGATTGGTAGCCTCCTGTTGTATATGCTCCCACCATAAAGTACTTACCAGCTACACAATCATGAGAGAGCGACATGATGGTTTTTGGCATATTTTGAACAAATGATGACACAGGGCGTATATTAGAGGAACGGGATGAAGTATACAAACCTTATTTTGAATTCAATTACCTTTAACACAGTTTGTGGGAGCTTACACAGATCTTCCCTAAGCTGAACCTTGGAATGTTATGGTATAAAAGATTAAAAATGATACACATTATCAAAGCAAGTTTTTAGGGCTTAGAGTGTGCAGTACGTTCAAGTTTACTGTCAAAATTGAAGTGAAACCGTGATGTATTGTATCGCCCTTGTTATTTTGTATAAGTCTCGACTGGATGATGGAGACACGTTTAGTTTAGAAATTCACAATTGAAGTTTTTTGGTTTTGCAAACGATATTTTTTGACTAGGTAACAACTGCGATGACATAGAGAGAAAAATAACTGAAGTAACAAATCAATTTACGCATTGCGGTAGCAATGTTGATTGCCAAGGAAACAAGGTAAGAGATTGTGATACGCGTTGGTAAGGTAACTTGTTTTTTAAAACTGAGGAAAAGGGCCCTCGACTTTACATATTACAACAGGGAGAGATTGGTTTGCTACCACACACTCGCTGGCCGTCGAAATACGTTTCGTGTTCAACATGTTTAACTTCTTCTAGTAAGGCAGGCTCTGGACACGATCCTTCTTTAGAAGCCAGTTTGTAGTATCATGACAGCCTTCGGTGGCGGCATACCGGCTTCTCGAGTAGGTTTCAGACAGTGGGCGTAGGTAGTGAACACGTCCAGAGGAACAAGTTTAGGGCGAAATCTCTCTCTGCATCACTATCCCAGCTCGATATCTGATCCGTCTAATTGTGTACGTCTGGAGGTAAAAAAAAAGGAGGGCGAAGGAGGTTGTAAGTAGGTAATATAGTGAGGATAGTTTCAGCATTGTAGTATCTGCCTCTGAAGGCCCCATGCAGGATACAAAACGAATCCACTCTTCTCCTCTCCACTCCCTTTAGTTTGTTCTGGAGAAGTTTATCTGACTTTTAAAAATAGAAAACTATGAGTATAAGCAAACTGAATGTTCAAACATAATCAGGACCCCATATAACTCATGGAACCGTGACTTACTGAAATATATTCCGAGGGAGGTGTAAGTTCCCAGTCCAAACAAACAGTTTTATCTTTACATGCATAGTATGTTGGCATTGGTTTACGTGTGAAGTCTGAAACATATAGGTTGTATTTACACATTGCTTGCATACTGACTACTTGAAAATATACATACACACATGTGACCAAAACTGGGTACACTTTTTGTAACCTGAGAGGAATAGACAGTCAGCTGTAAAGATCATGATCACTGTATTTGAAACTCGCCATTCTCGTAGGAGTCATACATTTCGGAGCTAGAGTATTTCCGTTGTCACAGTTATATCCCCTACCCTCGATTTATCTTTACTAGTAATGCTTTTGAAGTTGTGATGCTGTAAAATTGGGGCTAAAATGTCTAGCAAATTACTAAATTATAATCTCGCAACTCAACTTACATCACGTATTTCTCAAACCAGGTGGTAGAGGCACTGTGTCTCATATTTATGATTGCCAACTGGCTGCTAGTGCTTTTTGGTACTGTTCTGCATGGATCTACCTAAATTGTCTGTTTTATCTGTGGTTCAACCTCTCATCTTGTGTCTCCCTTCCATAACCTAGTCTATGGGAGACCATATGACTAGCCCCTTTTTTTCTCTCAACTACTGGTGGTTGCTCAAGTGGCTTCCTAGTCTCTATTTATACAGGAGTTTAGCGTGTAGAGAATGTTGTCTCCCTACCATGGGTGCCCGCAGAAAATTTTTTAAGAGAGGAAAAAGGGGGGGGGGTGGCAAAATGTTTTTAGTAATGTTTTACTGTAGTTTTAATTTACTGTAGCGTATTTGTATGGTGAACGAACAGACAGGACACTGTAGTAATGAAGGGCATACTGTAGCAACACATTTTTTATTAACACAATATATGTATATAAACAAATTTTACAACATAAATTTAAAATAAAATACATTCTTTAAACAAGATCTGGAGTCGTCTGTTATAGCTACCAAACATATCTACAATTTTGTCCATAAAATCTTTTTGGTTGCAGTTCACTTTGTCTCTGTGTACGCTTAACATACGTCGTGTATGTTTTTTCGTAGTACAATTTTGATAGATGTGAAAGCTTTGTTTTGTCAGTCAGTTTTTAGTTAAGTTGTTTTCTTTTTTGTGCACTGGGTTGTTCATGCGTTTAAATTTGTCTGTTAGATTAATCACTTTTTCTTCCCTTTGATGGCTCTAGCTCTGGAGGCCACAAGCTGCCTCCAGCTCATTGGCTGGTCTGCTTCACATACCTCCAGTAATGATTCTGAGAGCAGTGTTCTGTATTTTATCCACTTTGTAAATATTTGATTTGGCTGCAGTGGAGTATGCTCCCATGCCATACTCCAGTTTTGGTCGCACGTATCCTTCTAGAACAGTATTGGCATCTGCACCCCAGCTTGTTCCATTAAGATTCTTTATAAGTCTGAGCCGCAAGATAGCTTTTCTTTGGGTGTCTTTAATGTGGGGCACTAGATTAGTCTTTTGTCGAATTTTACTCTCAAATAAGTTTTTCTTCTTCTATATTTGGAAGGATGACGTTTTCTAGGTACAGATCAACTTGTTCTAGCTTTGTGGAAAGAGAGAAGTTGGTCTGGTTTATTGTGATCCCTCAAGAGTCTGTCCGTTTTTTTTTTTTAGCTCATTTATAGCTTCCTGCATTATTTTTTTTAGTAGTTCCTATATGTTTAGCCTAGGTCCACATGGTTAGGTCATCTGCATGTAGGGCCTTGTGAACGTGAGATGTGAACTGGAGGTCATTGATGAAAATAATAAACAGGGTAGGAGGTTTAACACATCCATGGGAAATACATTCTTGTATTCTGACCAGCTTGCTGTTGTGTTCGTTCAGTCTGACTCTCGCGTAGCGTCTGTAAAGAAAGTCTCGAATTCGGGCAAACGTATGTCATTTTGGGAGTCGCCGTGGCCGAGCGGCTAGACGCTCGTCGCGGATCAGAAGGTCGTGGGTTCGCTCCCTGGCAGAGCCGGACTTTTTTCAAAAATGACCTTGGCTCCCAGGTCGACCCAGCCTTTAGTGGGTACCGGGTGCAGTCCCGTGAAAGTAAAGGCGGCCGGCGTGATGCTGACCACATCACCAATCTTGTGCCGATTGGTCTATAAAAATAAAGGCCTAGCCCTATATGCCTAAAGGCGTGGAAAAGGGTCCTTTACTTTTTACTTATATGTCATTTTATCCCACTGCGTGCTAGTTTTAGCAAGAGACCTTTCTTCTAAATCTTATTAAAGGCTTTGGTTAGGTCCAGGAATGTAGTTAGAAGTTTTTTTTTTCTTTTCTGGAAATAATGTTCAATTTTCTGTGCTAGATAAGAGGTTTGGTCATCAGTGCTTCTGTATTTCCTGAAGCTTGATTGGCTGTCACCAATATCTTGTTCTCTTCCAGGAAATTAGGTGATCTATTTTTCAATAATCTGTCCATAGTCTTTCCAAGGCAGCTTAAGATGCTTATGGGGCGGTAACTGAATTTGTTTTCCTTGGCGTTCCTTTCTTGGCTATGGGAACTATTTCTACTTCCTTCCATTTCGTTGGAAGTAGTCCATGGGCGCAGGATTGATTGATAAGGTCTAATGGTCGTTGTTTCCCAGCTAGTCTCTAGTGTACTATAATTTAATCTGTTCTTCGATCATGTCCGGATACCTTTCTTTTCTTAAGGTTTCTTAATGCACATTCATCTTCTTGTGGGCTAAAGAATTTATTCATTAATCTTGGTTATTTTCTTGCTGTTATTGGTTTTCCTCAATTCTCTCGTCACTTCTTTTCTCGTTCTAGAGAGAAGGTTTTGCTTTCTTTAAAAAAAAAAAATGGGTAGTTTATTACCGTCTTTCTCCATCCTGAGAGCTGCAGTCTTTTCCTGTCATATTGTCCTTATGCACGTGGATTTTATATCTTCTATAAATAGCCTTATGTTTGTTTTGTTACGCTGAGGTCAGATGGATCTTTTCCATATGTACTCTTGCTTCTGTGCTTTGTGTGTGTATGTGTATGTGCAGCTGTTCCAGTTCTGGGGTCCAGAAGGGTTCATAGTTTTGCCTCCGACTTTAGGGGATTGATTTTTATGCTGCTTCGAGTTTGATACTGGTAAGAGTCCTGGTGTTGTTTCTCATCTCAATGTTAGAAATGGGCTCCGATAGTTTCTTTTTAGTTAGTTTTTTTTTTGCGTATTTTATTTTTGTGTGTAATCTGGTAATCTGGTAATCCTAGTTTCAGCTTCATAGCAAACGGGTCACCCCATAGCTGCTCCGCTCCTGTGCCAACGAAAAACACACGTAGCTCACAGTGTCACACCATGCACTCAAATCAAAAGCTGGGCGACGAAACTATATGCTTCCAGTCTACAAATGGAACCTGGCAGAAGTAAAAAAAAAAAAAAAACTTTTGCCACGGCTAAAAAAAAGTGGCCGTGCCTAGCGTCCATTTTGACCTGAAGCATTATGTGAGGGTTAATAAATGGTTGACCCAGCAGTACCCTCACTATTAGCTGGGGAAGGGACATGACATTACATCCATCAGCAGGCGTCGCCCCTACAACGACCTGACTGCCTTCGTTAACGACTGTTCACCCAACAGCCATGCAGTTCTTTGGCACGAAGGAGACACCTTGAACTTGGGTTTCGGAATGCCGACTTCCTACAAAATGTTATTTTGTGTTTTGTTCACACAATCGACGTCACTGCACATTGGGTATACCCATGCGTGCGCAGTCTTCCGAAGCAGCACCCACTCCAAAGTACTTCTACTAATTGTGCCCATTAGAAGCTGGTTATATTGTCTCCTTTCTCGACCTCGAAGACGACAAAGACGTGCTTCACCATGCTTAACTCCCATGTCACGCAATCGTGTTAGTGTCAGGGATTCGTCATTATCCATTAGCCCAGTACGTACAGCGTTGACGATATCTGGTCTGTCCATGCTTTTTCCCGCAATCATCAGTGCAGTGCTTGCCAGTTGGTCCGCTCGCTCATTTCCCTTTAAGCATAACACGGTGTGTAGATCCAGGTTACGGAAGTTAAGTGCGATTTCCGAATGCTTTCTATCCATTCAGAGCGCATACTGCCTGTTGCTATCTTCTGAAGCATATTCACTGAGTCTGAGACAATTACTGCTTGTGTGGCGGTTTGCTCGGATACCCATGCTAAAGCTCTAGAAGCAGCGGCTATTTCCATGGTCATCCTTGACGTGGTTGTCTGGTAAGCGCCGCTGTCCTCATGTATTGTTTTCCCCCTTCTTTGCGCTGTGTATGCCCATGCTGACCTTGATCCGCGATGATGAAATCTTCTGGGTTTGAATGCTGATCTATCAGTTCCCTTACTTCTGTGTCTATGGCCGCAAGAATCTGATCCCGACAGTACCTTCCAAGTGTGATGACAACCTTAGAGATGCCATTCATGTCTACTGGTGTATTCATCGATTCTTTTCCGTGCCTGATAACGTCTAGGTGACATACCTGCTGGATCAAATCCTATTTTTGGGTGTGTGTGTGTGTGTGTGTGTGTGTGTGTGTGTGTGTGTGTGTGTCAAAGAAGTTGAACGTAGACTAAATCAAGCAAAGTCATCGTTTTTAAAAATGAAGAATATTTCAAGCAGTCTTTCCTTGTCAACTGAGACGAGAAGGATAATCCTAAATTGCAGTATATTTCCTATCCTGATATACGGAGTCAGTTGGAAGGGTAGTGAAAAATTATATGGAAGCTGCGGAGATGTGGTTTTATAGACGGATGATGAGAATACACCGGACAGATAAAATGGTAATGAAGATGTCTTAAAAGAAACTGACTCACGAAGAGAATTGTTTGCCCACATTAGTAAGGAGCAATCTACATTCTTTGGTCATGTCATTAGAAGGAAAATAATTGGAGTGCATCGCAACAGTAGGAAAGTTAGAGGGGAAAAGAGGCTGAGGGAGACCCAGAAAAAGATGATGGACAGTTTGACATCATGGCATGGAGAATCATCCGTATCAGAGATCACTGAAAGTACAGGAGACAGCAGATCGTGGATAGACATGACTACCAACGCAACAAGTCATGGATCTTACAAAGAAAAAGGGGAATGTTCTCAAAGTGGAATTCCATAATTG